TGTTTTTTTAAATATATCTATTATAGTAAAATTTGGCATGGAAATATGATATTCATTTCTGATGACTAGAAAAAAAAAAGATAAAGAAATTAACAATTGTTCATAATGTTCGATTTTATATTCATTCTTGTTTGATAAAACATACTAAATATTTACTCAAAGTTGTGAGTTCTTTTGTATTTTCAAAAGAATGACATTTTGTTGATACTTGACACAAGGATGCCAACGAAAAGAACTTAACTCCTACTAGAGTTACTAGGCAAAAGTTGTTAGCCTGGCTCTGAGAGTGCTTCGAGAAATTCATTTGATTACAATAACAAATGCTTGTACTACCAAACGTCAATTTATTGTTGTAGAACTTATTTTAATTCAAGTGTAAACGTTCTTGCCGATTATTATAAGTATCACATGTTATTTTTGCTATCATAATTAGATTTTTTTAATGCAATTGGGAACGGAGCATTCATGTATGTAGTCGGTCACGTACGCATTAGATCTTCTTACATTGAATGTGTTTTGCCGTAACAAAATCTAGACTTTGTGATGCGGTGTTCTAGAGAATATGTCAGGGCCATTTGACCTCGATCTTTTACTGGAGATAACTGAAAAGTGATGAGCTAGGCTTCAGCCAGCTGCTATAAGCAGAACCCATAATGAAAGCCTTCGACAGGACAAGATCGATTCTGAGCGAAATCGTCTATCATCCTTTTGCCGAAATTTGAGATTGCCTTGCGTCACATTCATGTAATCCTTTGCGAATTTTCTTTTTTCTTACTTACTAAACATACGGATCGAGAATGATCATTTTCTGTTGCGATGATTTCGAGAACGGAGACGATCTTCCATTGTCTTATTGATACATCGAAAAAAAGTAAAAGTTGTTTTAACAGCCTGGATTTGTAGGAAATCTTTTTTCTCTCGTACGAAACTCTTATATTCGAAATCAAAACCGATTATATCTCTTAAGCTTTGCACCTTTGTTACGCTAGAAACAGTGGAAGTAAAAAAAACTTATTGGAGCTCTACCAACAGACTGGATACGTATCTCACCAAGGATGTATCAAATGAAACTTAATATAGTGAGCTGTTCTAAATTCCATCTTCTCTCTACCTAGGAGCCATTGCACGAAAGATACCGTCAAAATATGGACCATGTGCTCAATTGATATCACAGATTTCAATGAAAATTTGTCTAAATGTAGCCCTAAGTGAGATATGAAAACGCTAAAAATTTCAGCTTCTAAAACCGTTTCCTTGCTGAGATATTCAAACTACAACAGAGGCCCCGGCAGATAGAAAGTGACGGTAATCATATCAATACCCATACATTGTACATTTCGCCATTATTCAACAATAATGTTTTTACTCTTGAAATTTTGTGGGTATATATATACTACTATGGGTACTCTATATACTAACATACTCAAAATCACTTTTCGGCGTGTTAAGGAATATAGAGGAATTTCACAAGTCCCAGATATACCCCTTGCCTTGTAATAAGCATTTCTATTCCTTATGAGCGACTTATGAGCTTCCGCTTTGGAACTAAGTACTACTGCTCTTCAGCTATTAGCAGCAATTTTCAAAACCTTGGGTATTTGCTTTTGGCCCGAACAAAAAAGACGAGCTTCCCATAAAATCATCATTTTGACCAAAATTATGATTTTGGCAGGATTTGATCTTCCAAGAAATGAGTTCAACAGAAGTCGGGCTCGTGTTGCTTTAAAGTACATACTGACTACTAAAAAGTTATGTAAGAATTGGCTTGAGATCTTGTAGAATAGTCTGTGAAGCCTTATTGAAAGATATCCAAAAATGATCCTTTTTTCATGGAAAGCCTATTCCATGGGGTTTCTCCCACAAAAAACACAACTATCTTTAAATTGATCGAATGTGCCCTTATCTTATAGAACTTAATGAGTAATGGTTATAGTAAAAAAAATCAGCTTAGACGAATGTTTCTTCAGAGAGATATAAGAGTCACTTTGTTCGAGTCGATATGATCCATTGGCTACGATAGAGCACTCTAAATGCTTTGACCTTGGTTACGTTTTGTTTGAAAATAAGATATAACTTATTTATGGATGATATTGCAATCGAACTAATTCAGTATCAAGATAATATTGAATAAGATTATCAAATTTCACCACCGATGATTTCTCTTTTAAACAGAACACTATTTCAATTGCATTAGTCCTCAAAGAAATATCCTCATTTCACATATCCTTTTCTTGCGTCAGCAAAAGAAAAAGAAAAGAAAATATTGATGTCACTCTTTTTCAAAGACTAATGATGAAAAAAACAAGTAGGTTTATTTGTTCATACGGATTTCTATAAAATAAACTCTGAATATAAATTACTCTATATTAGATAAAACTAAATTTGATTAAAACTTTGTGTAATAATGTATATTCGGTAGAAAACATAAAAGTCTACTAATGTTATTTATAATAAATCTTTCAATTAGCTTGACGATAATAAATTATTTTCAATTATGATTAAAATAATTAGGTAAAAATAAAGTTGTTAACGAAGTAATATTAATATGATCTGAATATAAAAAAAAAATTTATGTATTGAAGGTATTGAATATAAATGAATTTGATTTGAATTTCTAATTAAATTATAATTAATGAAACAATTTAAATTTAATATCTAATAAAATCTTTGAAATTGTTTTATAAATGAATTAAAAATAAAATTATCTTTTAAAAATTCATTTAGTGAAAAACGAATAAAAAATGTAAATATTTTAAAATAAGTTAAGTTTATTTCAAAAAAAATTCTTCTAATTGATTATTTCGAAAAATATTTTCAATTATATTTGTATATCCTTTGATTTTAAGATAAATAAGTTCACTCATTAATAAAATAATCGATTGAACTTTATCCATGAATAATTCAGTTTGTTCAATTTTAAATGATTTTAATTGTTTTAAAAAAAAATTTTTTTAAAAGATATTTCATTGAAATTTTTCATTGTAAAATTAATAAGTCTTATTGATTTAAATTGATTTTCTTTTTCAATTATTTGACTAAACTGATAAATATTTGAATCGAATAAAATTATATATTAAATATGAGTTGATTGTGGCTATTGTATATATAATCATATTGATAAGATCTTATATCTAAATTAACTTCTTCAAGAGTTTTCAATGCTAATATATTTTAAAGAACTATTATTATTATTGATTGATTTAATATTGTAAAATATTGTCGATATTCAATTTCAAGATAATTTAAATAATTATTTATTAAATATTTTAATATTGATTCTAAATTATTTTCATTTATTTTAATTAATTTTAAATATTTTAATCAATTTAATTTATTGATTTAAAAATTTTTAATAAATGATTTTATTTGTTCAAGTGTATAATCATCATCAAATAATTTTAATGATATTATATTTTTTGGATGAATTATACGAGAAATAAAATCAAAATATTCTTTTAATATTAATTCAAAATTTATTTTATATGAATTATAATTATTTTGACAATAATAAAATCTTCTAGATATATAATTAAAATTAATTATTGAATTAAAATCAATATTATCAAATATACAATAAATTATTTCATTTGATAATTCTTCTATTTTACACATTTCATTTCTAGATAATCTAAATTAATTATTCAATTGAAAATCATTTTAAATTAATCGATTTTAATTTGTCTCATAAAAGAACATTTCAATATTATATTCTAGAAAAGATTACTCTTTATTTAATTTGTTCAACTAATTATCTATATTTTATATTCTATAAATAACAATTTTAAAAGTTGCCTTTAATAATAATAATGTTCTTATTTAACTAGCTGGATTTTAACATGGAAAATTTCTCTGATGATAAAAGTGAATAAAAATAAATCGTTTAAAAAAATCTGAAGAATTTCATTTTTGTTTATTTGATAAATGAATAAAATTTCAATAACAAACCTGTTTTCTTGGGTAACATTAAAGTTGGTGTTCCCTCTTATAAAAAGTGTTCCATTGTGTGATATTATAATGTCACACGGTGGAATACTTTTTATGAGAAGGGACATCAGCTTTAATGTCACCAGTGGAACACCAGCTAAAGGAATATCATTAAATCGAAAATCTCTCTTATTTAGTTGTCGACAATTATTTTCAAATGTTTAGAGAAAAAGAAATTCGGTTGTCTAACGATTTTATTTCAAATTATTCAATAATGAGGAACTCATAAAGAGAATTGACATTGTGGAAATAATATGAAAATTAATTTCGTTTCTTTCTTTTTTTTTTTTTTTCTAGATAAAGTAAAAATAAGAGAATAATATGAACATATATCCTGAAATAGATTTCTTCTTCTGTTAATCTGATAATGTTATCAATGATAGATTTGAAATCAATTCAAGACAATCTTGTTCATCATATTAATTGTCATGTTTTGTGGAACTCATGTATATTTTCGAAGAAAATAGTGAGTGTAAGTTTTAAGTTCGAGTTTTGGCGACTCCCCCTCTCCCCTCCCCCTAGGCCCCCTCCATTACAGACACTTAGCAACGCAGACTCCATTACAGACCTTAGCAACCAGGATCAAAGCTCAAAGGTTAAACATCAAAGGTCATTGAATACATTTCCCTAGCAACGGAGGGCACTAAGAACTGGCTATTTTCCTATGGCTCCTTAGCAACCATATGGCGGAAAACCATACATTACTGGATATGTTTCCATGGCACCGAGCCCACCTCCCTCCATTACAGGCTGTTAGAAACAAATTAATTAATTAGTTAATTAACAAAATAGTGAATAAAACAATAATTAATTAATAATTAATATATTCAATATTTAATATTTAAAAAAATTATTTTTTAATATTTAAAATACTATATTGAAAAAATTAATATTTTAAATACAAAATATAATATTGAATATTTACTATTTACTATTTATTAGTTTATTTCTTTATATTTTATATTTTTAATTTTAATATGCAATAATATTTAATATTTCGTTATTAAGCCATTATTGGACGGTGACCGACCGTCATTGGCATATCATTAAAAAAATAGAATCTATGTGTTAGAGATGTATATAACAATACAAATAATTGTTTTCAATATCACAATGTTAAATGAATTAAATAATTCAATAGAAAAGTAATTATAAATATCAACAGTTTCATTAAAGAAAATTTCAGAGCGCGCGTACAACTATCAAAATTATTATAATTCTGATTTATGCATCTATTTGATATGTTTTTAATAACTTATTTTAAAACCTCTGATCATATATATTAAATTTATAACGCTCAGAGTTTGTGAATTCTACATTTTGGCCCCAAAGGAGCTGTGCTGATAAGCTTTTTATTAATAAGCTGTTATATGTTAGATATATCAACTTGATAATCAATCGCTTATTTCATTATTAAAATAATCAATCAATAATAAGAACTATTCTATACCTCGAAAAGACTTATTTCGTTATCAGTTCTCTATCACTTATATGCGATCGACAGAGTTTTTCTTATAAACAATATATTTGTTTTTTTTGTTTGACTTTCTATAGATATTTGTTCTTCATGCCAAAAAATATCAACCAATTAAATGATTAAATAAATAATTATTTTTAATATCAAATATATAAACAAGAGTATATACATTTGAACTTTATGCAAGTTCAGATGTGTCTCTTTTTTTTTTATATATTTTGAACTTTCAGTACAGATTCGAACTATTGTCTCAGAAAAGAAAGGAAACACAAAGAGCAAGAGAACTATCATATATATACCTCACCTCAATACAGCTGATTTATTTGATTATGACAATGTACTTGAATAAACAATGTATGAACTTTACATTTCATCATTCTCTTTCTTTATTCAACTTTATCAACTTGATCAAATAGATTAGCTCTATTATATATGCATATATATATATATGTCGTGCCGAAGTTACACTCTTTGCCGAAGTTGTAACTTCGGCAAAAATTTTGTCGAAGTTACAACTTCGACGGACATTTTTGTCGAAGTTATAACTTCGACAATATAACGTTTGTCGAAGTTATAACTTCGACAATATAATGTTTGTCGAAGTTGTTAACAACTTCGACAAACATTATAT